TGGGAAAAAACTAAAGCTCCTATTAGGGGCAGATCAAAGCTTTGATATGAACCTGGGTCTGTGTGCCTGTCTGTTCCTCTCCACTCTACATACCACACTGCCTCTCTGGGTCAGCAACAGGGTCAAATTAGTCACAATCTCTGAATCTAAAGAACTGTGTAAGTGTGACCACATGAGATGAATTGTTTCTCTGTGCCTGTCCACTCATCTCTTAGATGAAGTGGGTAAGCCATACAGGGGTTCCCAACCTTGCTGGGCTTCAAGTTCACATGGAAACTGCTTTAAAACACACATTCCTGGCTCCCACCCCAACTCACTGAACCAGACTTCACAAGGTGGGGTCCAGGAATGTACAGTTTTTAAAGCTCACATGCTGAATTTGATGGAATCAGTCTCTAGTACTAGTCTTTGAAAACCTCTTGATGAAATTTGAAACAAGTCTGGCACCTCTCTGCTCTCTGAGACAGATCCTCAAAGGCTGCCTGCACTGCACACTGTTTTTTCATTCCCTTCCATTCTCAGTGGTGATTCACGGACAAACAAGATTTGGCAGCATGGCTTCCATCATTGCCCATTGTTAATACATGATTTCACCATGTCCAACAAAAAACTTACCATTCTTCCCCTGTGTTTTTTGTTTGTTTAAAGAATAGAAATAAGACTCTGGAATGTTATGTGACATGTCAAGTTCATAACACCTACAAATGCCTGACTAGTGTTTTAACTCAAGTATCTCCTATTCCAAACATGCCCTTTTATCACTTTTAATGTGGAAGGAACTTGGCAGTAAGTACAAGGGATAAGTGGCACTAGAGTGAAGCCCAGGGGAAAGAGACATATATGTTCCCTTCCAAGGATGGATACTTCTAGTGATTGACCCATGGTGCTGCCCACATACTTGTGTGGGAGCTTGTGAGCAGATGGCTAGTCCTTAATGGTGGTATGTTCATGTAGGCAATACCTGTCCTTTCTGACACTATGACCTCTATGCTCAGCCTTGTCACCAATTGGTTAGGTCTCAGGCTCACCACCAGTTGGTCCTGGCCCTGGTGCCTCTGTAGCAGCTCCTTGTGTTGTTGTTGTTGTTATGTGTCGTTGAGTTGGACTGACTCATAGTGACCCCTCCTTGGGTTTCCAAGGCAGTATCTCTATGGAAGTAGATTGCCCAACCTTCCTTCCGAAGAGTGATTGGCGGTTTTGAACCTCCAGCCTTCTGGTTAACAGTCAAGTACCTTAGGCACTATGCTACCATAGTTCCCCCTGGCAGCTCCTTATAGTCCAAAGAAAATGTCACCCCCATAACTGCTGTTAGGCTGGTGGAGATGGGGAATTTCTCTGACTCCCGGTCCCTGGGCAAGAAAGGGAAGAGAGTAAGAAAGGCATGGAGTCTCATAAAGTTTAAGGGGGAATAGTTAGATGACCTGCCTCTGATCTCTCCAACTCTGCCCCCAGCAGACATGACCAGGCCTCTGGTTCAATGTCTCTTGAACAATCAATCCTTAAGTCATTTCTGTAGTCTTGTCATCCACACATTTACCCACTCGACCTTCCTCCCTCTCTCATTCATCTTTGTAAATATTCTGATTGAGAAATTATATCACAGGCAGCTCACCTTTAAGGAAACCCAATTTAGAGCAGAATAATTAGGGACTAATTATTTGTTTTACAAGAAGGTTTCCCAATTTACAAACATGCCTCTTTCCCCTCAAATAACCCCTTACACCCACTCCTCCTCTGTACTTTAAACTATTGTTTAAAAGGTATTAACTATTCCATATGCAGTATCCAAAGCCTAAAGTTTATTTGCTTGATGAAACTCTTAGAAGATGGAAGGAATCCTTGATGGAAGACAATAGATTTCTGCCAGCAGAATGGAACTCTATTAGGCAACAGTATTCAAGTTAGAAAAATTTCATTTGCACATAACTTTTTGGAAAGTGGTGATTCTTAAGCTACATCCTGTGGGAGGAGGAAAGTGGTACTGAGAAGTGAACTCCCATTTATTAAATATCTACTGTATTTCAGGCTTTGATATTCATTAACTCACATCATCCTCATGTAATTGCATGAAAAAGATCATTGTCCCTTTTTTACAGAGGTAGACACTGAGTCCTGGAATGCCTGAGAATGCTTTTTGCCCCTGATCACACGACAAGATGAATTAGTCAGGTTTCAGACTAGGTGGAATTTTATCTGATTCCCACAAGGGCAGCTGTATTCCCCTGTTGATGGGCTTCCTCACAGAATTTCTTTGCCTGGTGCTTCTTCTCTTTGACTTCTGCAATGTAGACTTTATTATGGATGATCCTGATGGGACAGGAAAGAGGAAAGGACGAACAGGGATAGAGAACGAAAAAAAGAGACAGAGACATAGAGAAAGATACACACAGAAGGAGGAGGATGGGGGATGGGTAGAGAAAATGAACAAAATAGTGCCATTAAGCCAGATAGAAGGAATATGCTAGAAGAGAGAGGGAGAGAAAACCAGGTGATGATGTAGTTTCATTGACTCCATTTGTCAGACCAGGAAAGAGACCCCATAGTAGGTAAATGGTGGAGCTGGTTTTAAGGCTTTGTGTTTCCCAAAGTGTAGAATGAATTCCACTTTTTGACACACAAATTAATTTTAGGTAGGACATAACTGAACATTTTTACTGTAATTATTATGTATGTACTATAATGTGCATTCAAAATATAACTAACATATTGAACTCATGAACTCACAGATATTGCTGGTTAGGTTAAGAGTAACGTAGATTACCTTTAAAGGTCTATTTATTTAAGACTTCTGGTAAGATGGTGGAATAGGCAGACAAGCTACACAAACCCTCTTCAACAAAGTAATGAGAAACCAATTGGCACAGATACAGAAGGTAATCCAGGAGCCCTGAGCTTTAAAAGGAAGGACACAGAAGTGGATTAAACACCAACTAGTAGAAGAACCTGAATGAAAACAGTGAATAAGGAGACAAAGGGAGCTGCAGACTCTCAGCTATCCTGACAGCATGGACAGTTTGAATATTTCCAAGTGTTGTTAGGACCTGAGAATTAACCTAACCATTAGCCCTGCTCACCAAGGGCTGCATCGACAACTGCACCAGTGGTTGATGACTAAAAAGGGAAAGAACAAAGGAGACAAACTGAGCTTTTGACTTTCGGTGATTCAGAGGGTGCAGCCATTTTGAATGTTTACAAGCTGTGGCCATTTTGGATATATAAAGCAACAGCATTCCCATTCAGGTTCCAAGGACCTAAGAATAGGCTATGCTTGCCGAAGATGGAATGGATATACCGGAAACTGACAACTGGAAAAGTGCTATTTTCCCCTTTTTATTTTTATACCCTACATCCTCTTGGTGAACCAAGATGTGGCCATCCCTCACCTCCACCCACATTCTGGGCCAGCAGGAATTCCAACCCAGTCTGTGTGCTCTAACAGAGTCTGGGTGCCTTGCCCCCCTACCTCTAAATTTGGTTTTTCTTTGTTTTTAAATTATTCCTTTTTTTTCCTT